GAGCGCTGGGCCCCGACTGACGCAGGGGCGCCGGGGAGGAGGCTGGCCTGTCCTGGAGGGGCGGCGAGGGCGCCTGCCGTCGCCTCCAGCATCTCGACACCCACACACTGCGGCCACTGTCCAGCCGTTAGTGCACCTCTGCATGTGGGAACCTCACAGTTACTGAGCGTTGTAAGTACGTGACGTTTTTATTTAGATGCATTTCCGTCTGTTTACTGCTCTGCTCCGCTTTATTCAATAAACTTGCGTTTTGAGGGTTGTACCGGCAGTTTTCACCTCAGACGTGCTCTGCGGCGGCCGGCGCCTACCTGGGAGGGAACGGACAGGGTCTGAGCAGGCGTGCGCACCGCGCGCTGGAAAGGGCCAGCGCCGCTCTCGAGGAGTTGGGCCGTGGGCCAGGGAACGGAAATAAACTTCTGAAACATCGAGAACTGATACTGTGGTACGAGGGGGGTGTGGGGAGGGGGGGTGCAGTAAACTGCCCTCACAGCACGCGCTCCCTTCCGGCCCGGAGGGACCCCCAGGGCGCGGCAGGCCCCGCCTGGCCCTGAACCGTGGCCCGCCTTCACCTGGCCCACCTGCTCCCCTCAGCAGTGTGTTTCAGGAGATCTCCTGTTCTGATCCCCACTCTGGTGTCTGCTCTCAGCCCTCCCACCCCCACCTCTGGCCTGCACCCCAGTTCTTGTAGCATGAATAAATAAAAAAGTGGCAAGAGTTAGGCATTTTATTTTCCAGCTGTTTTCAAAAGTAGACACAAAGCACACGACACGCCTCCTTAGTGACTGAGTTTGGACCGAAGAGATTTAAACTGACTTCCCCTAGGAGGCACATTGTTTTTTCAAAGATTTATTTATTCTTGCATACAGGAGTTGGGGTGTGGATCAGAGGTGGGGGGATGGGAGGACACACCAGAGACAGTGGGGAGCAGCGGGGAGACAGAGTTCTGCGCCCTGTGGGTCACTCCCCGGCCGGGATGGACCCCGGCTGTAGTGGCTGCGGACACCTTGATGGCGCCGAGACGAACCCCCGCACTGCCAGGGAGGGAGCCCCGTGAGGCACGTTTTTCAAGCGAGACATCTCGGCCTCTTGCTAGTGTGTGATCTTTAGCCCCGTACACTGGACGCCGGTCTCGGAAGCTATGGAGAGATGATTTTGTGTATTTGACCCAGGCGGGTTCCACTTGGCCTTGCCTCCGCCCACCGGCCACCCTGTCCAGCCACGCCTGCTGGCACTGGCCACCCTGCCCAGCCACGCCTGCTGGCCCCTGGATGTGCAGGGTGTCCAGGATGGAGGAGCCTGGAGGTCAAGTTGAAGCTACCTGGCTGGACGGGCAGAGCAGGTGGTGAGCCGTCCGCCCTGACTTGGCACCGCCACGCTCCCACGGGGCGTGTTGAGGGGAGCGGCGGCCTGGGGGCGGCCGGAGTGGGCTTGCTGCGCCCTCGCCCGCTGAACGCGCACCCGCGGCTCTGTCGGCAACACCGCTCTGGCCGCTCGGCGTTGGCGTTCCGGCCGGGGAAGCACTGGCCTTGTACACTGCCCAGTCCAGCCCCCTGACACTAAACCCTCGGTTTGGCAATTCAGCCCGGCAACTGCGGGTGGGGAGCTGGAGGGCAATTGGGGCGCGGCCGCCGCCGTGCCGGGAGCTCGAGTGCAGGGGGCCGGCGTGGGGTGCTGGCTCTCACCAGCGGAGCCCCGCCTCTGCCTCCAGGCTGACCGAGCCGGCCCCTTCCGAGCCTGCGGGCGCGGCAGGTGCTTCCTGTTGGCGAGAGAACGGCCCCCCAGCACACACTGGCTCTGGTCACAAGCGGGTGCCCTGGTCCCTGCCCCGTGGGGCGCCGCGGCGCTGCTCGCCTGGGCGCTGCGTTCTGGCTCCCGGGGTTCCCTCCCTCCCTGGACAGCGGTGTCTCCAGCTCGGGGTTCCCAGCAGCAGCAGGGGCGGGGCTCGCAGGTCTGGGGGCCTGGAAAGACGGGGTGCTTCGGCTAAGAGCTGTGAGCTTGAAGCGTCCCAGGCCGTGGGCTCTGCCACGGGCGCTTGGCACCGGGGCGGCTGTTGACCGCCTGCGGGGAGTGGCGGGAGCCCAGGCTCCTGGCTTCCGCCCGGAAAGCGGCTGTGGCACCACTGGGGCAGCCTGGCGAGCCAGGGGCGCCAAGCAGCCGGCGCCCGGAGCCGGGAGGGCGCCCACACCCCTGCCTGCCGACAGGCTCCAGGATGACCATCCGGGTGGCGGACATCGTGCATTTTTAACACTAGTTGAGGGCCGGGGCTTTACCGAGTGGCGCAGGGCAGGAAACGGCTGTCCACACGGGTGGAAAGCCATTCGCAGCGGGACGCGCGGGCCTGGCTGCAGAGTGCCGCGGGGAAGGGCTGCGCCTGCCGCTGCACCGGTTCTGAGGCCGTGGCGGAATGTAGGATTGCTTGGGACGCAGCGCGTGGGGAGCACTTCCCTCAGAGAAGGAAGGTGGGTGGGGGAGCCCCAGCCGAAGCCCAGGGCTCCGGGTGCACACGGGCAGCAGAACACGGACAGCTGCTAGTCAGCGTCCCCTCAACAGGCCCCCGCCCAGTGCAGGCCCACGTGTGCTCGGTGACCGTGTCTTGGAGCCTCCGGTCTCTGCTGCTCCGACGCCTGCATGGTCCCCCCCCCCCCCCCCCCCCCCCCCCCCACCGACTAAGCGCAGATGCAGCTGCTGGCGCCTCTGGCCGGCTAGTTCGCGCCCTGGCGACGTGGCGGCTCCCCTCGCCCCTCCTGGCCCTTCACGGGCACCTTCGGCGTGGTTCCGATACTGGACATGCACAGCCTGGGGGCAGGGCGTGAGCGCGGGAAGGCCAGTTCCGGGGGACTGGCACTTGGGATCGTGGTTTAGCAGAGCAGGCCGGGGAGGCCACTGCTGTGTCCGAGGTCCCCGAGTCTGGCGAGGGGGTACGACACGATGCAAAGTAGAAAATGCACGAAGCCGTGAACCGGATCCCAGGACTTCATCTGAGCAGCAGCTCCTTCCCCTCCAAGGGAGAGGGGGCCTTGTCTCGGTGCTGGTCATCACTCCGGTGGCTGTTTTTAATGCAAAATACAAAGCAAATAGAAACTCGTGCTTGGAAGGTCACACTCAGATTTGAATATGGCTTGCAAAACCAAACTGGTTCCTCCTCTTGCCCGTGACTCTTTCTAGCAAGCAGCAGAGTCCCCTCCCTGCGCGGGGGGGGGGGGGGGGGGGGGCAGTGTCCCTCCTGTCTGGGTCCACAGCCGGGCGGTCATGACCCTGGCTTGTCTCCTCAGCCTGCGGAGACCCCATGACGGCGCCCGCCCCATGTCGCCCACTTCTGTGCCCATCACACAGGTGGGCGGCCATACACGCCATTCAGTTTTGAACCGGCTGCCGTGCGGCCTGTCTTCCACGCTGCAGCGACCACCCACTGCCACCTTTCTTCGGGAGGGCATGGGCGTCGGGCTGGAGTTTGCAGACCCCTGCTTTATCCAGCAAGTGCATCTCGCTTCAGAAACAGTAATTAGCTTTACAAGGCATCACGCGTGACTGACTCCGTTTTTAACAACACTGCTTTGGCCAGGAACGTGTGACTCCTCAGAGCGGGAGACCCGGCCCCGCAGGCTACTCTGACCCTGCTGCTGGTTTCGAGGTCAGCGTCCTGTGGCTTCGCTGGTTAGCACCGACTCGCCTCTCGCCTCCACAGGACAGGTCCTGGAAGCTGAGGCTGTCTCCGGTGAGGGCTGTCGTGAAAGGCCTCCGTCGGCCAGGTCGCCTCTTCCAGCCCTCAGACGCGCAGGTGGCAGCGGGCAGTCTCGTGGGGACGAATCGCAGGCCCCCACCACAGAGACCCAGGGCCTCGGTGGACTTCGGAGGACACGGCGTCAGTCCCGGGTTCCAGCGCTGCAGGTGGACCTGGGAAGTCAAAGCTTTCCAGCTGCCCCTGGGCTGTGGCGCGCTGTGGCCGCTCCTGTTTCCCCGCTGCTGAGCCGCATCTTGCCCGCACTGGCCTGGTGGCCGGAGGCGCCCAGTTCAGCTCCAACCGCTGCACAGCCCCCGAGTGCGCCCCTGGGACTGGGACGGGTCTTGGAAAGCTGGGGTTCAGAGTCACAGCAGGGGCTCACTGCCCAGCGCCCTGTGGCCA